TTCAAACCTCCAAAACCCTAATTATAATCTTATTTGTTATGAAAGAAAAGCTAACAAAAGAGGAGGTGGAATAATAACCTACATCCATCATGACTTAAACACAAAAATTAGAAATGATCTTTCTATTTCTGATTCAAATAGTGAGGTCTTTACAGTTGAAGTCATTAATGATACTACAAAAAATCTCTTAATATCCTCTTGTTATAGACCGCCCGATGGAGATAATAATGTTTTCAAGTTTTATGAAACAAATATATACAAAAAGCAATGTTGAACATAAAAAGCTATTCTGTATTGGTTACATGAACATAAATTACCTAAGCTATCATGAACACGCTAATACCAAATTTTTTTTCGATGGTATGATACAATATTACATTTTCCCAATTATAAACAAACCCACCCGGGTAACTCCCAACTCAATTACAGCTATTGACAATATATTGACAAATTCAATTCAAGATCCATCCTTAAAAGTAGGAATAATTAAAACGGATATATCTGACCACTTCCCAATTTACTTCTCACTATCACAACAAGCAACACGTGTCAATAACTTGAAAATAAAAATCATCAAAAGAAGCATAAATAAGTTCTCGACCCAAAAACTAAAAGTCAATTGCGGTAGTAAATTGCGGTAGTAAATTGGTCAAAAATATATCATGAATGTAACCTCGGACGCACAAATTCCACTTACAATAAGTTTATAAATATTTTCCTAAATCTCTACAATAAACATTTTCCAAAGGTCGAAAAAGAAATTAAAGCAAAATACCTAACCACTCCATGGATTACCAAAGGAATAAGAAAATCGTCAAAAAAACAAAACAAAAACTCTACATAAAATATCTAAAAAATAGAATTACGATATTAATTTGTCAAAGTATAAACAATATAAAAATTTATTTGAAAAAATAAAATTAAAATCCAAAAAACTATATTTTTTAAAGCAAATACAAAAATTTAAAGGAGATAATAAAAAAATCTGGGATATTATAAAAGAAATAATTGGTAAAGATAAAAAAACTCGAACCAACTACCTCCAAATGTTCTCATAAGTGAAAAAGAGAAAACAAATGTTCTCATCTCTGAAAAATTTAACAAATACTTTGCAAGTACAGGTTCCAAACTCGCCTCTAAAATTCAACCTTCAAACAATTCATTTGAGAATTACATCGAGGACTCTCGTTGCTCCCTAGTTTTTAAAGAACTAGAATACGAAGAACTTGAATCAGCAATTAAAACATTAGAAATGGTCCAGGTATCTATAATATTCCAGCCAATATAATTTTGAATGTGTTCTCAGAAATAAGTAAACCCATTTTTCAAATATTTAACTCTTCAATAATTACAGGAATTGTACCCGACTATTTAAAAATAGCTAAAATTATTCCTATCTATAAATCCGGAGATACATCTTCCTTAAACAATTACAGACCAATATCAATCCTTCCCGTATTTTCAAAACTGCTCAAACGAATAATCTACAATCGTTTATATAAATACCTAACCACAAACAAAATCCTGAATGAAAACCAATATGGTTTTCAAACTCAGCACTCGACAGAGCATGCTATCGTAGACCTCGTCAATAGAATTAGTGAATCAATCTATGAAAAGAAGTTCGTATTAGGAGTCTTTGTAGACTTGTCAAAAGTGTTCGACACAATAAATCATGAAATCCTACTAAAAAAGTTGGAAAAATACGAATTAAAAATCCATACACTGCAGTGGTTTAAAAGTTACCTGTATAACAGACAACAGTGTGTTATTACATATGATAATTACCACAGTAAATTATTAAAATTAACTTGTGGTATTCCTCAAGGTTCGATTCTTGCTCCTCTTTTGTTCCTAATCTATATAAACGACCTTCCAAAAGTTTCTAGCAAACTTGAATTTATAATGTTTGCAGACGATACAAATTTATTTTAGTCTTCGACAAACATCAAGGATCTGTATGATAATGTAAACATAGAACTCCAAAAATTAAATATATGGTTTAAAACAAATAAGTTATCCCTAAACATAGAAAAAACAAAATACACTTTATTTCACTCAAACCAACAAACAAACACACTACCAAATATTCTACCCTCTCTAAAAATAGAAAATATAGTAATTAAGAGAACTCACGAAACTAAATTTTTAGGAGTTATAATTAATGAAAATTTATCTTAGAAAAGTCACATAAATGCTTTAAACACTAAAATATCAAAAAACATAGGTCTACTTTATAAAGCAAAACCTATGCTGTCGCAAAGTAATTTAAAACTTATATATTTCTCTTTTATAAATAGCTACCTCATATATGCGAATATAGCTTGGGCGAGTACCCATATAACCAAATTGAAAACTTTATATCGACGTCAGAAACATGCTGTAAGACTAATCTACCATAAAGACAAATTTACACGCACTGAACCCTTATTTAAAGAAATGAATGTGCTTAATATTTATCAAATTAATATTTACCAAAATATATTGTTTATGCTTAAATTTAAATTAGGTCAAGTACCAAACCATTTTTTAAATAACTTTTTTTATAAATAACGCTAATAAATATAACACAAGAGAAAAAGGAAACTTTATTACACCTTTCAAAAAAACAAAACTTTCCCAGTTCTCAATTTCATATCGGGGTCCTTATTTATACAACAAACTAGTAACTAAAAATAAATCAATTTGCAATCTAGATTCAATTTGCAATCAAAATTCCTTCAAAAAAAAGTTAAAAAATCTGATACTGAATCTAAACAGATACTCAGAATTCTTCTAAGACTATAAATTAAAATACATATATATCAACTACAAAAGAACTGACTCGCTTATGTGTATTATCTAAATGACTCTTACTTTTCTCAAACAATATATCAAAAATTGTTTATTACACACAAAAAAAACACTTGATTTTTTCTTATCAAGTTTAGTTATTATGCTGCTTGTTATGTCTAATATTTTATACTGAGCTTATTTTGAGTTTATTTTTTATTATGAGCTTAATTTAAAGAATATATAAATACAGTTGTACTTAATATATAATTATATTTAACATAATTATAATATATATCAAACACATTGTAAGGGCTTCGTGATAAGATCATTACGATCTTCTTGAAGTCCGGCCTGTACTATTTAATTATAAATTTCACTATATATTTTGACTCACGAGACTTGTAAATATTACAACTTTTAATTTACGAAACTTGTAAATGTTATATGTACGGCAAATATACAAATAAAAAAAAAAAAAATTTATTAACTATATTGTTTTCATTGGCAATAGTTTTATTTTTAATATGTAAGATTTTCGGAAAGAAAGATATATTGATTTTCGGTTTTCTTATTACTTCATTTAGTACTTACCAAGTTTTCCTAGAATTTAATTGACACTTTTCAAGTTGCTTTTTATAATAGTTTGATTTTGCACTTCGTTTGATTTTCTCAAATAAAGTCCTATAGTTTTTATATTCTGCCTTGGTCTTTATGCACTTATTTTTTAGATATCTATCGCACAGTCGATGTTTTCGCTTTGAAGATTTTTTTAACCCTTTACTGAACCATGGTGAATTTAAGTTTTTAATTTTAATTGTTACTTCTTTCTCTGGGAAGTGTTTTTCATACAAGTTTAAAAAATTTTGATGGAAGTTATTAAACATGGAATTTGCATCATTGAATGATTCTAATGGAGACCAGTCTATATTTCCTAGTTCATTTTGAAACGCTAATTGATTGTTTAATGATAGAAGGCGTTCAGTAAATTTTAGTTTGTTTTTGTTTATTTGACGTATTTGCGGATATGAAAATTGGCATGTGATCTGAAATTGGTGCTTTAACTATTCCTTTTTTTAACGAGTTTTCAATTAAAAAGTTAGTTAATATATTGTCTATTAATGTCGCTGAATTTCTTGTTATACGTGTTGGTCTGGTGTTATTAAAGGGATCACACCATATCGAAATAAATCATTGTAAAAGTTTTGACTTTCTATATCATTGTCATAATTTAGGGCGTTAATATTAAAGTCACCTAATACAAACAGTTTTTTTTTTTCTAGAGAAACTTTTTGAATAATATTCTGGAGATGATTTAAGAATTTTTCTTCAAACTCAAAACTTAAATATGTTCATACCTATACCAAATGATGAGGTCTTGCCAAAATTTGGGATGACAGAAGCCTGAGAACAAAAAAGCCCTTAAACGCTTGCCACTTCCCTGCCCAAACGTGAGGGCACTGATGTAGTAAAATTTTCAACTTTACTATCTTAAACTAAATTTAACTTGATCGACAGATTTTAAATTTTTGAAGAAAAATATTGTAAATTATAAAAGTTATGATCATGCAAAATTTCTCCTCACTCAGGGGAAGGGGGGGGGGAGGTCAGAAAATTTGCATAGTCATAACTTTGGTAATTTACATTTTTTTCATCAAAATCTAAAATCTGTCGATAAATTTAAATTTAAGATAGTAAAGTTGAAAATTTTACTACATCAGTGACCTCACGTTTGGGCAGGGGAGGAAGCGCTTTAGGGCTTTTTTGTTCCCAGGCCTCTGCCATCCCAAATTGGCATAGTTATGAACATACTTAGGTTTGGAGTTTGCACAATGAGTGGAAGTGTCTTATCTGAAACGTCAAAAAATACTGCGGGTGCTCATGTTTTTATGGTATGTCATTTTGAAATTTTATTTACTATTTAGCCAATGTGTTCACTCAAGTTAACATTTCTGACGAAAAACCTAGAAGCTTCTATGCTTGTTCTATAATATTTTGAAGATCTGGAAGTTTTAATAAAATGTTTTCTGTATTTTAAAGTCTATGAAAAAAAGTTCAGTTTTATTTGTAATCAAGGACAATTTATTTGCCTTATATAATATAACACCATTCTGTCATATTTAAAAACCTTTTTTGATTGCATCATGAAAAACTTCAAAATTCTTCTGATTTTAAAATTCGGCGTTCAACAAACGTTTCATTTTACTTTATTATTAAACAATACTTGATAAAGTTTGCATTTATGAGTATTTTCAATTTGTTCCCAGGAATAAATGACAAAAGAAAAATTTCTTCTCTTATTATTTAAATAATTATACAACTTCTAAAAATTGTTTTTAGTAAAATGATCGCCTTGATCAACTTTTTGACTTAATTTTTTGAAAAAGAAAAACAAGCAGAATGAGAGACCAAGTGTTTAACCCATTGAAAAAACAAGAAATCCAACCATATGACATAAAAAATGAAAAAGAGGCAAATATTTCATAGGAAATTAGTAAACTAAGAATTATTCGAACATGTAAACTTTGTTTGGTACGATTCCTGCAATGAACACCAAAATCACCAACGCAAAACATTGATACCAAAGTAAACATAACCATCTAAAAACATTAAACAATATTATAACAAAATGTAAATTCAAAAACCATAAAATATGCAAAAAAGCACAACATATAAAATACTTTGACCTAAAAAATGAATACAATAGTATCTATTATAATACAATAATATCTAATAACATGAGCATTAAAACATTGAATATATGTAAATACTAAACGGTATCAAAAATATTTAAACCAGGGGTTTATTTTTCAAATCTTACTTGAAATGATACGTAGAGATACGTTAGACTGCCGGTCAACAGTGTACTACTTGTGTATATACCAAATGAAAATAACACACCCAACTGATCAGTTAGGAAATATCCAACACTTAAAGGACCTAACATAAATTTATTGAACATTTATTACAAAAAAAATTCATAATAAAAATACATTTTTTTATTATATATTTGTTAGGTGTAACCAAAAAACATAAGCCAAGCAGATTTTCAAAGGGCACAAAACAAATTAATAACAATAGATGTCGTTTTTTGAGCTGCTAAAACTTTTCTAGGGAATGCAATGCTTTATTTTTATATATATTTTTGTTTTTTCTTAGAAAAACTTTACGAAACATGTTATAACAAACGAAAAATGCAAAGTAAACTTATGAAAGTTGTGACAATAATATATATATATATATATATATATATATATATATATATATATATATATATATATATATATATATATATATATATATATATATATATATATATATATATATATATATATATATATATATATATATATATATATATATATATATATTTATATATATATATATATATATTTATATTTATATAAAAAATTGTATATAGTTAAATACCAAAATGTGAAATCGTTTTTTATATAACTAATTTGCGGACAAGCTTCACTCAACAAATTCTATAACATTCCTATATCTATATCTATATATATATATATATATATATATATATATATATATATATATATATATATATATATATATATATATATATATATATATATATATATATATATATATATATATATATATATATATATATATATTTGCAATAATATGAGAGATCTATCACATGCTCAAAGATCTTGAAAAATCTCTTAAGTAATTCCTCCTCATTTAAAATATCAAACTATAAACACAAAAAATTTACCATAAAAAAGTCTTACCAATACACAAGTAAAAATTGTATATAGTTAAATACCAAAACGTGAAATCGTTTTTTATATAATAAGTAATTTGCGGACAAGCTTCACTCAACAAATTCCATAACATTCCTAAACAGAGATTTTAACAGAGTAGGTTAAGTTAAGTTTAGATATCAATAAAAATAGATCTATAAATAAAGTAACAAATATAAAACTATAAATAAAACTAAAGAAAAGTTATAAAAACTATAAAAATTGTTTTACAAATGCTAAGTCTTAATTAGAAACAAAAATCACTAAATCACTATATGTCATATTGTTTTAAAATCTTTTTAAAACTTATAACAAAACAAGTGGTAAAATAATCAACTTGTTTTTTATGATCCATAAGGTCTCATTATCAGGCTCCTCTTAAGGTCTTAATATCAGGCTCCTCAAGAGATCTCAATATCAGGCTCCTCAAGAGGTCACAATATCAGGCACCTCAAGAGGTCTTAATATCAGGCACCTCAAGAGGTCTTAATATCAGGCTCCTCAAGAGGTCTCAATATCAGGCTCCTCAAGATATCAGGCTCCCCAAGAGGTCTCATACATATAGAGAAATAATATATAATAATAAATAACTCATACATATAAAGAAATTTAATCTCACTTATATGTACATTTTGTGAGTACTTCAGTAAAGCTGGAAGCAGTAGAATGTTGACAGCTATGGCATAGAAGCCCATGCGAAGCTAAACATATTTAAATAAATAAACTTTTAAAATAATGATATCGTTTGTAATATTTGTTTGTTAATATTTTAAAATAAGTATAACAATTATATTTTTAATTAGTAAAAATGCAACTATTTATTTAGTTTTATTTATAAAACTTAAAACTAAAGTGAAAAAAGGATAAGGCTACACCACTGTACACTCACCACTGTAATAACTAACATCATAAGACATTGACATTAGTAAGTGACCGGGGCCCCAGCCCCGGCTAAAAATGA